AAACGATAAAAAATCTATCGGACTAACTTAATTATAAATTTTTTTTGTTAAAAATGTCTAAATTTAATTACTATTCAGACTCTTTATAATAAACATTTGATAGATAACTTGACTTATTGTTAGTTTTAGGTCAGATCTCGTTTTTTGTGATTTGATAAAATTATGTTGCTTGTAACTGTGTAAACGCATATTACCTGACTAAGCATTTATTAATTCCTTTGTTAAAGTAAAGGCATAACCACACAGAAACAAATTTCTCTTATTTAGCCTGAAAGTGTATAATTATGGTACAATATAATATTAAAAAATTTTTTACCATGCATTTTAACAAAATTAGTTTTTCAAATGTGTTTTATATATTTTTTTGTAGTTTTATTAATGAATGAGACAGATTTACACATATACAATAAAATTCTTAAAAATATAATTCCCACGACTACCATATTTTTAGAATAAACTCTAAGAAAACAATTTTTAGTTTAAAAGCTTCCAAAAGCTATTCATTTCTTACTGTAATCCATATACTTTCTGAATATGATTTTTGGATATAATTTTTTAATATAATAAAAAAGTTTTAAATATTCCGAAAATTTGAATAAAATTAATAATCAGTAAAGGAATCATCAATTGAGGGGCAAAGCGCAATAGATTCGTAAAGAACCGTCAATCGGATGAATCGGGATTGATGATTTATAACCCACCACACAAACAAGACAGGCGTAGAACATAAATTCTGCAAACAGTACGCTGATCGCTTGAAAGCCTAGCGTTATCCCGCTTGACCATGACCTTGGGTCGCAGTAACCGCGAATGAGTGTCGCGGCACACGTGGAAAACGGTCTTTCGTCCGTTATGCGAAATCGTAAATTTCTCTTCGTTCTCCGTTGGCGAGGTATGTTTATGTGCCTACCCCCCGCCGAAAAGCCACTTGTATGATACGCGGGCGTCTCTCGTTTTAAAAACAATTTTTCAAGCGACACTGGATTCAGATAACGTAAATCGGTATTTAAACATCGAATTCACATCTCTGCCTTTTTTTTCGTGACTCTCATTCGATGTAAGCGTAGGATGCACGGTGAATTTAACGGTGATTTCGTAACTTAATTGTTATATATGCGAATAAATATATCGCGCTGTGTAGGCATTAAGATCGATCGTGGTTATTACGTACATATCGCTCCTTTACTTCAAAATTGACACAGTTAAAATCATGTTTTAGTTATTTGTATGAATAAATTAGATAAATATTATCATATCAATCATTAAAAAAAACTAACATATATGTATATAACTTCATACAACACTCACCTACTAAATCGTCACATTTCAAAAAGAGTAATTAAAAAAAATCATTACACAACTCAAAAAGGATAATTTTTTAAAATTGTGAGACACAAAAATCACACTGATTGTTAAAAATATACCTACCTACGTTCTGCCAAATTAAAAAATAGTTCTCCTTTTTTGATCAGCTTAATTTTGTGAATATATCATATATAAAGTAAGACAACAATATATTAGTTTTGTATGTAAAACAAGATATATAATATTCACTGATAAATTCGTCATTAATCAAAACTGAATAGAAGAACTATTTCCATTTATAATATATAGTGTTATTTGGACCGATTAAAAGAAGAAATATGTAAAAAATCAATAGAGTATTTATATTTTATCAGAATCGATCGAGTTCAAACATTTCTTGTCAACGCTACGAACAATTCTTTATTTTGCATGTTAATTCGACTAATATACGTATATTTAATTAAGCGAAAGATGCTATTGCATTGATTTTTGTCATGTTCCATACCGGTAAAATTAAATCCCTGTGTCTCATACAAGTAACATTAATTCTTAAACCACTCATTATCCAATTACCTTGAGCCTTTCTAACGGACCGCGGGCGTGTTAATTAAAAGAGACTGCTCGGTTGGTGTTGCAAATTAAAGAAACGACTTGAACATCCCATGGTGTCATCAGTACAGTTTCATTCATATTGCTTGCTTTTACGGGGCATTTTAATTAGCGGAGTGCGTGGAAGAAGAGGTTCGAAATTATTTCAACGTTGTTGTTAATCTATACATGCGCTTTAATATCAGCAATTATCGAAGGAGTTTGCAGAAAATACATGCTGAATCTGCGGAATCCGACATGTCAACAGAAGAATGTCAGATTTGATGTAATCACTTTATAATACCAAATAATTTGTACAAAAATTATGAGATGTTTTTCTTATTAACACTTCCATAAAGATTCCAAACCAATGATCATTACACAAATCGGCTTCGGAAAATGTGTTTACATCGAAACGAGATCCAAGATAAAGAACATTTCCTATTCGCACCTGTGTGTTTTTTACACAATGTCGTACCATCGTAGCGCACATTTGTGTTAGGATTTATACGCATGTAACCGTAATAGACTGGCTGTTCACAAGAATTTTTTTTAATTGAGTGCTATTTGCCTTGGCCAAATGATTCTCTTATAAGTGTCGCCTACAACGTGGTCAACTTTTCATACATTTACAAATAAATTACTGCATCCTGAATTTAAACTCCGCGCTTTAAAGTATTTCAAAGTATATCTTTATTGTCTATACATTCTCGAAACTAGCCATTAAATTCGTCATTTATCATTAAATTTGTTAACCAATAACAGAAATACACATTTTTTTTACTAAAAGAACATTGGTTTCTTGGAATTCACGTAAGTTTTCGTATTATTAGTTTTATTTTTTAAAGAACTTTTCATGTTCAAAATTATGAAAAGTAAGATTGTAAAATATAAAAAATTATTCCAAATCATTTCTATTTAAAAATTACAAAAGTTTGCGCGAGAGGGGAGTTACTAGAACCCATATGTCCCAATTACAGTTAATTAAATTGTCCTTATAACAATTTCTACATTATTACAACATTTACAACATATTTTTAATTTTAAATATGATGCATGTTATGTCCGTCTCCAAATCATGATGCGAATTTAGTCAATTAATTATTTATTTTATGTTTAAATGTTACGAGCATACATTCATATACTCCAAATTGTATTTATATAATAAATACCACTTTATTGTACAGAATTTTTCAATGACAAGCATGGTTACTGAGAAAAATGACAGTTACACGCGGCGTGCGTTCCAAGTACATCGTGAAGTTGTGCGTTTAAAACGCTTCCATACCTCATAAAAAATATTGGCGCGAACGAACCAGTTACCAAGAACCGGATCACTCTGCGATCGGCGCGATGCGGTGATTCCGTAAGTAATTGTCATACGGTTGTGAACTTTAATTAATTGAATCGTTGAATGCTGCCTTGTAGTACACCGACTGGTTGTACTATAAATACATTTATACGAAATACTACTCGCTTTAAGTTCAACCGTGCGCAAACACATAATTTGTGATAGAACCTTTAATTCATCAAGCAAAAAAGTAAAAGATCAATACAAGCGAGAAGGTAAATGTAAATAATCTTGAGCATGAATAATGAGCACATAATTTACACACACACATTACGAGTAAATACTGGTTATTAATTTAGTTTTAATTAAATATGCAAAGAAGTTTTGCATATTATTGCAAAATTCACTCATCTAAAAATTTGATATTGATTTAAAAAATATATTTTAATTTATTTCAAAGAAAATCTATTTGAACATGTAGATCTAATACTTGCTTAGGACTAATCGAATTAATTTTATCATCAAAGAACTTCGCTTAAACTGTATTCACTTCGATATAACTAAATATATTATTAAATCCAGTAAACTTTACTAATGCCACTATCTCTTTAAAATTAATTTCGAGAGACATTAATAGCGTTGCTAATTATTTACGAGCTGCTAATAATTATGTGTATGATGCACGGAAAATTAATATGGTACTCACATGAATCATGACATGTGTATACATACATATTTGTTCTACGGACGATCTTCATTTTATGAATTCTTTCGAAGAAACATGGTCTTCTTTGAGAATTCGTTCTATGTCTGCTTTATTAATTGAATCGAAAACTGTAAAATAGCTTAAGATCTACATAAATTCAATATGTATAAAAAATATATTTGTATAAATACTTATTTATAATATCAATTTCCGATATCTTTTCTTATTCATAAATTATCTAATATGACTTACAAATTAGTTACTTCATTATATTCGATTTATTCATTCGTGAGATTTATTTAATTCAGATTTGGCACATATAGGTATATTCCGATTTCGATCAATTGACGGGTACATTGACGTTTCGCTTGATGTTTGCTTATGTAAATTCTCTTTCTCTCTTTCTTTCTCTTTCTTGCCTATAAAATGTACAACTCACGAAATTTTTGCGTTGGTCTCATCTTACCATCCTTGGATTACGTAAGAAAAAGTGCATGATCGCTCGCAGGAACCGCGCGATAAGTTAACATTCCGTGCTTGCATAACGAAAGTAGCACTCGCTCCGCGACGCCGACGTTTATTGTGTATCTACATGTATCCGCGAGGTATACTCGATGTAAGTATAGCGGGCACGGGCTAGATAACGACGTTATCCTTGACTCCAGCCACGTACACAAGTCGACACGTTGCACGCGCCGTCTGTGAATGCTACTCTGCATACGAAGGTACACGCGTTGAGTTTTCGCGAGAGCCGGGTTTGCTAACCGATATTACTGATCTTATTGCTAATAAAATATAAACAAGCGTATAATTATTTCATTATACACCGTATATTATTTTTATCGTTACAAATCTCATAGTAACTTTACAGGGGCCCGAGTGAGATCACGTTAGAACATTTCGTATCCATTAATTTTCGCGAAACGTTTTATTGTCCAACTGTAGAGTCTCATAAAGTCGAGATACTTTAAGTAGCAATAGACGTTCGTAACAGACGATAGCAAGAAACTCTTGTCTACCAGCGAATCCATCGACTACGCCCCCGTAAGAGCGCGTTATCGACCTCTCGGGGTCCGATCGCTCGTAAAATAGCAATACGCGGGGGCTTACCAGCAGGAGAAGCACCGTGCTCGTGGCGGCCGCGTCGACCGATATGCCGCACGCCATTTCTCGCGCTCTCGAACGAGGGGGTTGCCCGTTCTCCTCTACCAGACCATCCTGAATGCGCCGTCAGCCCGCAGCTCCCCAGATTCGCGCCACTCGCGGAGGGATTCTTCGGAAGTCGAAGCCCGACGATCACTTCTCCACGTCACACAAAAGAGGAAGGGAAGAAGGGATGAGAATTTATCAATCACGTCCACCCTTGAATCGAACTGCTCTTCTCCGCGACTCGCGACACCCAACGAGAGGACACGCTCGTTCGGAAATTTGTGAATAATTTGCGATAATCGACGATTTAAGGACACGCCAAGCTATTTCTCTCTCGCTGACGGAGGTCCGATAGGAGATCGGATTACGGTCGATCACATTCGCTCTTGATCGCTGCTCCCCGCACGTTGCTGGCCTTTCGCCGCTCTCGGATGCCGAGTTACCGTCGATCGCTCACCCGATCGCCGGATCTCGTAATGAGGACGTGAAGGACGCTTTCTGCCGAGGACAACGCAGATCGGTTCGCGATGGCCAGTGGCTAGTTCGACGCGCCGTCGTGTAAATGGTGACGATTATATGCGGTCCTAACCGTAGCACAGGGCTCGGGCAACTGACAGCGGGTCAGAGCCGCGGCACACGGCGCCACGCCGCTCTCACAGCTGATCTGAGAGAGCCGATCGCCTCTATCACAGCGTCCCCCTCTTCCTTCCTTCGCGAGGGGGCATGCTCTACCCTCTCTCTAACGTGCAATTCTCAATCTCTGTGCCACACCGCGTCCTGCCGTCAGACGCTCCCTCCTAGACCGGGTCCCATTAATGTAGGATTAACTTTAATCTCGGTTCTCGATTTACTCTGTATCTTTTTCTAATTCTAAGAAGTGTAACAGTAAAATCAACCGATATTAAATTAAGTTAATCTTACATTAGTAGAACCGGACCCTAGAGACTATAACTGGAGTTGGTCATATACAACATGATAAACTTTTGATTAAGTCAACTTTAGTATTTAAGTTAAAATAAGAAAGATAATATAAATTAAAAATAATGAAATATCATGTGTAGAAAGAGACGATATGTACTTGTTAGTACTGTCCAAACAAAGCTTTTTCAGTCTTGTTTGGACAAAATTGTTCGTAACCAGATGTTATAGAGTCTTTACTCTGATATCATCCTACTTTAATCTCGGATTATGTTAATATCTCAAATACCTGGAAATCACGAAGAGCAGGACAATACAAAGGATACATATATTATCGAGAGATTAGGGGGGGTTTCCGATAATATATCTTAATGATATATATATATATATATGTGTTTATTGGAGATTAAGAATGAGTTTTTCCTAGAGTGAGGAGTTTTTTGAGTCGTTGCTTTGACAGAATTCTTAAATCTACTATTTCTAAAAATACAAAACAATAGTGACAAGACTATGGACAGCATTGAAAAAATATCCTTTTGGGATGTTGAATTCAAAATCACATAATAAGATAAATGTCCAAATGACTAAATTAATAAGAAGATATGATCAGTTTTATATTGTTATTGATTGCACTGTTCGACGTGCACGATAAAAAGTGACCTTTTTCGAATGAGACCAATCATTTTTTAACATTAATGGTTTTTTCAGCCGCTGCATACAAATCCGATGTTAAATTTAAATAAACACAATTGAAAACTATTTGATAAATCGTCAATGACCTAATTCACAGTTTTTCCGTAAAGAAAATTAATTGCCATCGTGCGTATTTTTATCATTTTTTAAGCCTTTTTACACTAAAATGCTAATAATTAATTTTTTTATATGGCACAAAACTTCAGAATCGTCGCTGTCATTATAAAATTATAAAAAAGTATGATTATTGGTCAAAAAGAAGATGTTTATACCCTTTCACAATTGAACGTGCGCGAGTCTGTCTGTCGCCAACTCAGTCGGAGAAAATGTGATGATAATTAATGGTCGCGGAATCATTCATAAATATTAATGCAAGCCTTTCTCTCTCTACGTATGTTACGCTTACGTCCCGGATTTGCAGATATCTCCCGGTTGGTTTTACGAGCTTACAAAAAGAATGGCATATTAAAGCACGTTAATTAGTCGTATAGTACGTGCTCGTTATCGTAAACTGAAGGTCGCGAGTAAACCGTCGGTCACACAAACAGGCGACGCTCTATAAAACCTCCACATTCTGAAAATACAGTCCACGTGCCCTTAATGACCACACTTCAGCATTTTTTATTATTCATATATATGATCTTTTAAATTCTAATTAAATTGTAACTCAAAGCCTTAATTAACAAAAATACGTTTATCCCGAGATTAACAATTTTTGAAAAAGGATGATATGAAATCTCATCAAAGTTTCGCCAATAAAAAATATCTTGGAATACTCATCGAAGATCATTTTGTAATATATGATAAATCTTACGAAATATCTTGAAAGAAATGTAATAAAAGAAGCGAGTAAGAGAATCAAACGTTCTGTGTTGCTCACACGATGGAATAAGTAAGAATAATTTTACAGGTCATGTTTGGCACTGTAACTTTATGTAACTGTAATTTTTTGTTGTCTATTTTTATCTTTATTTTTATATATTTTAAATATATAACGGCAAAGTATTTGTTAAAATTGATTCAAGGAAAGAAAGAAGGGAAGAAGGAAGAGAAAGAAAGAAAGAAATCCTAAATCTCGAAAATGACAGTTATCGAAAGATAAGAGAGTTATCCAGCAAGAGACACAGATGACACAGTGTAACACAGTGAATCTAATACATCCTTATTGTTTGCCAATGTTAAACAAAAATGAAATAATCACTGTGTCAAACAGTGTCATTTGTTGTAAAGCTCTCATAATAAATAGTCCTCTCTTTCGAAATCATCCATCCTATGAGATAATTTCGACTCTGTAATCTTAGGGTTACCAGCCGTACTCTAAGAATACATGTATTATACTTTCTTCGAGGTCGTAAAACTTTTCATCATATTAATTAAAATTTCATATTTATACAATTTTAAATTATATTAAAGAGCATTGTTAATAAAAATTATGTTTTATGACATTTTATTTTATTAAATATCTAAATTTGAAAACAAAAGAAATATATCCCCTCTTTCCGTTGTTTCCATTTTCTTTTAGATGTACATCTGTACTCTTTTTTCAGGAATCAGATGTGACGATTCTGTATGAGATGGAAAATCAAAAGGTCGAGGATACGGAACTGGTAGCTGGTTCGACGTAGTAAAATTCCCGAAACGATCATCCGTTCCGGTATTTCGCCGAGCATTACGATAGAGGATGATGACAACGATGACTGGCGGGGAATATAAAGCGTATTTAACGAAATCCTTGTGCAACGGGCGCGGATGAATAACCGACCTTGCGAACGAGCGGGACGACCTTCGTGGTGGCGAGCTCTCACGAAGACAAGGATATATCCCGCCTTCTTCAGGTTTTTCACGCCGGATACGGATCACGAAATGTCTTGAACGCGACTCAAGTTACATCGGGCTTTTGGACGATCACGTGCAGTGTTACTGAACGTGCGACGTATCGTTCAGAACGTTCGATGATTAACCGCGAGCAACTTTATTGGCGCCGTCTCGACGCTTCGCAATTTTATTTTCACTTGGCTACCGTTTGTTTCTGTGAAAAAGGAGGGAATTTCATCGAATTATTATGTAAAAAACAGAAACATTGTAAAACAACAATTGTATTAAGCTCTTGCACACTATGTACTATCACCATACTTACATAAATACATATATATATAGACTTTCTGTACATAGCTACTGATTGCACTCAGTATGCCGTTAACTTATCTGAAACAATGGAGTTGAATAATTTTTTTCAATGCAACAGATTAATTTTGACTGAAATTTAGTTTATTTCTTGAGGACATACGAGAGCAGTTTGATAAGTACCCGTGTTGACGACTGAGGGTGCCGCTGACTAAAAGTCTGTATACCATAATGTAACTCCATTTTTTGAACGACGCACGTAAAAAATTCAGACAGCTGTGCCGGTTAGTTTAGTTTTTATAACAATTAAAAGTTGACGAGTTTGTGCATGTTTGCAATCATGGAAAAAGAGCAATATCGGTCTGTGATTCG